TCTAAAGTTCATATATGAGTGAGTACATACCATGTTTGTCTTTTTGTGCTCACTGATTTCTTAGGCTCATATTCAGATAGCTTCTGTAGTGGTTTGAATAAGAATGGCCCCCATAGACTCAAGTTTTTGAATAGTTGGCCCATAGGGAATGGCACTATTAAGAGGTGTGGTCTCGTTGGAGTAGGTGTGGCTTAACTGTGAAGGCAGCCTTTAAGTTCCTATAAGCTCAAGTCTGGCCAGTATGGCTTCACTTCCTGTTGCCTATAGATGCAGATGTAGAACTCTCAGTTCTTTCTCCAGCACCATGTTTGCCAGCATGCCACCATGCTTCCTGCCAAGACAATAATGAACTAAACCTCTGAAGCTATAAGCCAGTACCAATTAGATGTTTTCCTTTAAATGAATTGTAGTGGTCACAGCATCTCTTTACAGCAATAGAAACCCTAACTAAGACAGCTTCCTTACATAATCTAAGATCACCTGTCCAGAGAACTGTATTGTCCACATTGGACTGGGCCCTCTTACATCAATTAACAATCAAGATAATTGCACACAGACATGGCCATTGGTAATTTATAGAATCCTGTTTCCAGCCTTGTTCTTTGCTTCTTGGTGTGCCATGATATGAAATGGCTTCTTCCATCCACTCCTACCACTGTGAAGTGAACTGTTATATCATACATCCCCTCTATGATGGACAGAAAACACCTTGAAATCATGTCTTTCTTTTATAGCAACAACAAAACACCATGACAAAGGTAACATATAGAAGGAGATTGTGAGGGGCTTAGAGTTTCATAAAATGAGTATATGGCCATCATGTTTGGGAGCATGACAGCAGACATGGTGCTGGAGCAGTAGCTGGGAGTTTATATCTTATCCACAAGCTGGAAGCAGGACAAGCTACCTGGAAATGGTGAAGGTTTTTATTTGTTTATTTTTTTCTGAGACAAGAGTTTTTCTGTGTAGCCTTAGCTACAGAACTAGCTCTGCATACTAGGCTGGCCTCAAACTCACAGAGATCAGCCTGCCTCTGCCTCCTGAGTGCTCAGATTAAAGGCATGTGCCACCACTGCCCAGCTGGTATGGGCTTTTGAAACCTCAAAGCCCACCTCCAGTGGCACACTTTCTCTAACGAAGCCACACCTTCTAATCCGTACCAAAAAGTTTCACCAACTGGGGACCAAGTATTCCTATATATGAGCCTATGGGTACTATTCTCATTCAAACCACCACAATGCCCAAAGG